GGGGCGCGCTCTCTGCGCCTGGACCCTGGATGGTGGAGATTGATTGTGCAGAGCTCCAGAGAACACCGCTGGATTGCTAGACGCCTTCCCCAGACCCCCGCGACCTATCCATTCTTTCATTTGTAAGTCATCCACTAAATAAATCTTCCTTTTAACTACGTGGAGTGGCCTTTATAATTTTCCCCAATAAATATGAATTCTATTTTTGTTAATGATATGAACTTCTGATAATTAGATGGAGATCCAACTCCTTCTATATTGTTAAATATACCACTGTAACTAATTTGAATAGAAAATGAGTGGATCAGAATATAAAATTGTTAGTACATCTAGGACCAAATTACATTGCTTTAATTAACAAAGTTTTAATGTAAGTATTTTGATCATAGTTAAGGTTTTTCAGCTAATTAATTTTTTAAAAGGTGTGATTTTGACATTAATTGCCATGAATTTACAAATGACTGTAAACTGACATTTACAGCAAATTTGGAGCAATGATAGTCTTTATAATATTAAAAATTTTAGTTTAGGAAAAATGATATGGGATTATATATAGGGCTTCTATGTTTTATAGAGAAGTAAATCCTTTAACATTGTAAGTAGAAATCATGAGGCATTTTATAGGTTTTCATTTTTGTTGTTTTAAAAAACTATTCATGTTTTGTATTATAAACTTTAATATTAACATTGCATTACTGAACACGTTAGTTTTAGTTATTATTTGTTGACTTCCACACCTTTTCCAAGTCAATAATAGTTAATATGTAATAACCAATTCTTACTTTTCTTTTTCAATTATCTATAACGTTTTTTGTCTGCATGCCCATGTAGTTTTTCAGACCATGAGTGAACTAACAATGAAAAGTAGCTGACAGTGTCTAGCACTATAGCTAGTAGTATAGAGTTGGTGAGTTCAAATCTGGTTGACTGAGTAAATGTTAATAAGTGACTACCAAAAGCTGGAAGTGGAAGATAAAAAGGCTAAGAGAAGTCAGGAGTTTTATAATTTGATAAGGGATTTTCTGTAATAAGAAGCAGATTTTCTGTAAAATAAATAAAACACCAAGCTCCAGAGTATAGAGATGTGCATTTTAATATAATAATGTTTGCTGTGGTGGAGAAACCCAGGAGAGGAAGTGAGATTCCAGGAAGCATGAGGTCAAACCACAGAGTGCAATGTGAGAACTGGCCAAAACCAGTCCAGTCAGGTACGGAGCTTCCAAGGACATGGTTGTGAGAAGTGACGCCCAGGGGAGCCTCACCGTGCTCACCCTGCCTGTGTGGACACTGTGTCTATACTCTTGCTTTATTCCAAATGAAGAATCACAAATATTCCAGTAATGCAGTTCAGATTTTACCTGGAGTAGCAGGGCCAGTTGGAGGGTGGGGGGATATATACATTTCCTTCTTTGTTTACCTCCATTCAATCTTCTTTCTGTTTTTATTACACCTTTTAATTTATTTTGAAAAGCTTTTCACTTCCAGTTATAAGAGTTTGAGGGGAGACTTGCAGAGCCTTTTCAGACATAATTTAGATTCCTAATAAATTCTGAATTGAATTAATAATGACAGCTTTTATTCTAGATATTGATTGCACTTAGTAATAGATACATTTCTTTCTTTCAAATACTCTTCAGTGTACTGAGTTATTTGATAACTAGTTCCTTTGCAAATAGGCACATTTATTATGGCTGTCCGAAGGCCACACATAGTCTTTTGAATGACTTAAGTTAGAAAAAGACTGTCAATATCTTGTTTTACAGCCTTTGAGCAATATGTTGATAGCTATTTCTTAGAAAGAGCCAATGAAAATTAAATTTAAATCTGTATACAAGTAAAATGACAGATGGCAGATGAGAGCAGTTTAGAATGGAAATCAATTTCAGTAATTCTGTGATTAGGATGTAATTATAGCATTGATACGCTACACCCATGGGGCTGCTATAGTCCATACCATAGGACAGGTTCACTTTTGGGGTTTGGCAAGATAGCATTGATGTGCTTTACTCTAGTTTGACCAGGAAATAAATCATTGCACTTGTTACTCTATCTTGAATAAATAAAGGTTGATGAATATCACTAGTCACACACAGCAGTCTATGGCTACTGTTTTCTCTTAAGTTATTGAAATTGATAAAGTGACTCATACATTTTTGATTAATAAGTTGCTTTTCTTTGGATTCAATTTTCTTTTTCTTAGCATCTTGATTAATTTTGAATATCAAATGATTGTTAGGAGAAATGCATTGGAAGTTGGGGAGATGGCTCACTAGGTAAGAGAACTTCCCCAGCAAGCATAGAAACCTGTGCTCAAATCCCCAGAAACCATATAAAAAGCCAGACATGGTACCATGCATCTGTAGTCTGAGAAATGTAGGTGGGCAGAAACAGGAGCATCTGGAGGCTTGCAGGCTGCCAACCCAGCTCCAGGTTCAGTGAGAGACCCTGTCTCCAGGGAGTAAGGAGAGTGATGGAGAGAATATCCAGTGTTAGCCCCTGGACTCTCTGTGGGCATCACACACTGACACTCCCAACATATATACCACACTCATATCCTTACACACACACACACTTATGTGAACACACACATACAAAATTAAAAGAAACAAAGAAGAAATGTATCATAGTAGTTTTTTCATTAAGATATGTAGTTTGGGATACTTGATGGCATCTTCTCTGAATTATCATTTATTTGCTCTTGGCCTTTTCCTATAGGTTTTCAACACATACTCCAACGAAGACTATGACAGGAGAAATGATGAAGTTGACCCTGTGGCTGCATCTGCTGAGTATGAACTTGAAAAGCGAGTAGAAAAACTGGAACTTTTCCCGGTGGAGCTGGAGAAAGGTACAGCAGGACTCCAGGGCTTGTGTCTCTGTGTCTCTGCAAGTAACGGGGAGTGGCATTTTCAGACTGTAGCTTGTTCCCAAGAATTGAATGAATTGTATATCTCCCTGAAGTTTACCAATTTCAAAAAGATTCGTTGCAGATTTTGAGTAGATAATTTATTAAATGACTCCCTTATCTCACCAGCTCCCAAACAACCCAGTTCCTTAATCTATCAGGGATGGTGGTGGTTCAGATGGGAGCTTGCTGGCTGGTTTATGTCAGCTTGACACAAACAGAGTCACTGGGGAGTGGGGAGCCTCAGCTGAGAAAATGCCTCAGTAAGATAGGCTATAAGCAGACTATAGAACAATTAACAAGTGATGGGGAGGGCCCAGCCCATTGTGGGTGGGGCCATCCCTGGACTGGTGGTCCTGGAGTCTATAAGAAAGCAGTCTGGGCAAGCTATGAGCAAACCAGTAAGCAGTACCCCTCCATGGCCTCTGCATCAACTCCTGCCTCCAGGTTCCTGCCCTGTTTGAGGTCCTGTCTTGACTTCCTTTGATGATGAACTGTGATGTAGAAGTGTAAGCCAAACAGACCCTTTCCTCCCTAAGTAGCTTTGGTTGTGGTGTTTTGTCATAGCAGTGATAACCCAAACTAGGACAAACTGGTACCAAGATCATGAGGTATTGCTGTGACAGACCTGACCGTTTATTTTTGGGAGGGTTGTGGCAGGACTTTGGAACTTTGGTCTGGAAAAGCAAGAGTAACCCAGACTAAGATGGTGTGTGTGTGTGTGTGTGTGTGTGTGTGTGTGTGTGTGTGTGTGTGTGTGTGTGTGTCTCCCACTGCTTTGATGGTGTTACCAGAAGGGCTGGCAGAGAGGGAAGAGCCCACAAAGAGCTGGCCCTGAGGAACGGTTTGGAGTTTCCTGGTTTGTGGTGGAGAGGGTAGGCACAGTGGTTCAGAGTGTGATGGTAGAATGGGAAGGCTCGATGGAAGCTTGTGAAGATCTGGAGTGAAGACGGTGAGCTACAAGAAGCTTCCAACAAGAAAGCTCCCTTCTCTGTCTCTGAGGAAAAGACTGAAGGGGTAAAGGGGAAGTGGGAGCAGAAGACAGTCAGTCCTGAATCTCCCCCTTGGACTGACAGTCTGCGTACCACAGAAGCCACTGATGCATGGAGCGAAGATGGCTGTGCCTATCCTCCCTTGAGATGGGCACTGAGGAACTGCACTGTGTCTCTGTGAGCAGAAACCAGACAGATCTGAGGAGCCTTCAGAAAGGGGCAGGATAACCAGATGACTGGAAAAACCCAGAGGCGAAGAAAGTCACTCAAGGATAGTAAATAGAGGCTTCAAAAAAAATCCTTAAGTTCATTATCAACAGCAAATTCATTGATTTTTCTAATGAAAAATTTGACCTTAGAAGTTGAGATGACAAGCATGGCTGTTGTTGAGACTCATGTTAGGGACCTTGGAGATCAGTGTAAGAAATGTCCTCAAACCCATTGCATTGATAGCAAGCACCCAAGAGAACCGAGAATGAGCACTGATACCTAAGCTGTGGCCAACGGAAGAGAAAAATGGAACAATGGAGGAAATATACAGTTAGTAACAGAAGGAAATTTTCTTGAGCAGAGAAAACTAAGAAAATGCCATATGGTTCTCTAGTAAAGTAGGGAAATCCTAATGGATAAAGATAAAATAACAATCTTACAGAATACGAGTTTAAAAAAAATAAACAAAAACCAAAGTAAAAGTCTTTGAAATGACTGGAATCAGGTCAGGGCTTCCCAGCTCTGAAAGCTGTCCTGCAGTGAACTTTCATGGTCCACTGAGAGTGAAAAGGAGTGTGTATCCCAGGAAGCATTTGCTTCTCCTGAGGAAAGAAAAGATTTTGCTAATATGTAAAATTTTCATGAACACAAGCTATCTGAGAAATTTGCTTACTGCTGGCAAGGAAGAAAAGAATCGACTTGTTCAAGACAGTCAAGGTGAAGAAAAGAGTGGAATTCTGTATGAGTAAATATTAAACATGGAACTGTGTGGGTGAAGATGATGTCGATCCAGCATCCCAGTAAACATGACTCCAGTTAAAGGACACTTTCATTCGCAGTGAAAATGAAGTGGAGAGTGATGCTTTCATTTTGTGTGTGTGTTGAAAAGGATCTTACAAGAAACCTAGCGTGTCTCATATTGCTGATAAGAGCCAAAGGTGAGAACAACCCAAACATTCATCAGAGGCACGACAGCATGTCCAGTCAGTAACAAGCTGTGCATTGCAGCTCATGCAGCGGCATGTGTGACTTTTACAAACAGAACGTTGAGGGAATATGAATAGGAAATCACAGAAGGCTTTCAGCTGTAATTCCATTTACTTGAATTTCAACTGAGGGAAAATTGAATAGTGTATTATTTAAGGATATGGGATACATGGGTGATTAATTTTTTTTTTATTATGTCAGTGTTTTTGAAATAATGATGGATAAAATAATTAGATTCAATGTCACCAAGAGTAAGGAAAGCTGGAAGGGGTATATAGGTAGCTTTAGAACAAGGAGTCTTGCTTTAACTTGTTCTTGTAGCCCAGGTTGCCCTTGAATTCTATAGTAGCTCTGGCTGGTCTCCAACTTGTGATCCTCCTGCCTCAGCATCCCAATGCTCATATCATAAGTCTCTTCCACTTTGCCTGAGTTCTTAGGGTTTAAGAAGTGGTTTCACTGTGTATCCAGTCTGGCCCGGAATTCCTGCTTGTCCTCCCAGTCTCCCGGTGCTTGGATTACATGTGTGTGCCACCAGACCCACTTACTTTAGTCTTTAAACATGTTTCACAGATAAACCATTGAACAAATTATATTGTGTGTGTATATTTCACTCTAAAATTTAAAGTATAAATTTAAACTATGAAGATGACCAAAGGAAATAAAATGGTTCCAAACTTCACTACATTTCTTTCACAAGTAGATCTAGCAGACAGGAAACACATGAAGAGTAGATTAAGATAAACTAATCAGTTTAAAGCTATCTCTAAAGAGAAACTAGTTGTCTGGTAACATGAGATTTTTAAAAAGAAGAAAGATATTACATTTGAATAAAAATTAGAACCTCTTTACTAGCATGAGAATCTAGAAATTATAAAATTCTTTGATGCATATTTGATAGAAAAATGAAGCTGTTATTCCCAACTGTCTTGGAAAGGGATATCTTTTAAAAAGTTTAATATACAGTAAAAACCTTAATCAAAATAAAAATTACAATAGCATCATTCTTTAAAATAAACATTTAAGAAAAAAGACAATAATCTAAGAAGTCTGGAAAGGTAAATAAGATACATTTTTTCCAAAGGTTCACTTTTTTATTCAAAGGTTCTAAAAAAATAAAAGAAAAAGCTAACAATCTGATCAAATGTGCAGTTCAAAGATGTCTTTTGGTGTTTAAGAAGTCCTGGGAAAGAATATTAGAGTCATCTTGACCCAGTGACTTATTCACCTAGCAGGTGTACATCACTAATAGGTCAAAATAGAAAAATAATAATAACTCTCTCGATCATATCAATATTGCTATTGAAATCTTTTCTTCCATCTGCATAAGAGGTTTTTCTTCATAACTTGATTTTTAATAATTTAATGGCTGGCTGCTGTGCCATGTTTAACGGACTTTTTTTCTTTTAATGTCCAAAGGTTCTGTTTCCCAAGTCTGACCCACACGAGTACAGCACTTAGTTCAGATGTACTTGTGGCAGATCTGCCCCTGCCCTTCTGACTGAGTTATCAGCATATGTCTTAAATAATGTAAACAAAATGTCAAGTAGTGAGAAACCTGGGCTGATAAATGTACTAGGTACATGAAGGGTGCACCATTCAATCTGGGCTTCTACAAAGCAGCATGTTTTAGGGAGCATAGAAATAATGATTTTCCCTCCCTCCCTCCCTCCCTCCCTCCGCCCTCTCTCTCTCTTCAAAAGTAAGAACAAAAGCAAACACATTCCTCATATTACTATGTGATTTTCACCAGAATAGCTTTTGAAACTATAGAATGTCACTGACATCTGTCATCAAAAAACCATAGAATTTAAGAACTAAAACATACTCAGCAGAAATAACTACTTAGCCCTAGCCCCCCAAGCTAGGAGGATTTTGTCCATGGAAACAGGGAAGGCGGGCAACCTGTTCCAGCACAAAAGAAAAATAGCCTCTGAGGTAGTAACTGATTATACACAGCTGACCAGACAAGTACATGGTATTAGAAGACAATTGCCATTGCTTTTAAATTTACTCAGTTGCCCTAATAAAAAAGCATTAATAACACTGAAGTATCTTTTATGTACTAAAGTAGAAATAACTGTTTATGAGTCACAAATTTCATAGTTTCAAAGTTGATTTTTCCTTATGCTTGAACACCTGTAGTAATGACATAAAATGTGCACTGCTTGGATCCACATCTTCCTTTGTGCTTTTTTTTTTGTCTATACATTAATTAAAATTATAAAACCTAATTCAAAGGTACAAAAACAGCACATTCTTCTGGCCACCAACTGGTCTGGCAAAAATAAAGAACAAAGATATGGTGCTGAGACAAGGTGGAGCTACTGTCTACTGGCTTTTCAGCCTTTGGTGAAGTTATCTTTAACAGTGCTAAGTCATTTTTAAAACTGAGAAACACAGCCCTGATGTGGCACACGCCTGTCATCCCAGCATACAGGTGGCAGAGGCATCTGAAGTTCAAATCCAGCTTCAGCTCAAGACAAATGACAAGACAGGGAGAAACTATAAATACAACAAAGTAAGTGACAGAAAAGAGAAATAGTAAAATTAATAATGCAAAGTTTTTTCACCAACCAGATCAAACCCTTGACAATTTTGACTAAAGGCATATTAGCAATATATAGTAAATATATAGAAATGAACAACATGAGAGTTATCAGGCACTGAATTTCTCTGACACAAATAATGAGTACCTAGAAATAATTTATTTATTTTATAACAGTATGAATATCCAAGTCAATGTAACAGATTGGTGAGTTGCCATAGTAGCAATTGAAATGGTGTCTATTATGTAAAACATGAAAACATTTCTTTAGAATGGTGTCTACAGGTAAAACACTGGAATGCTTCAGACCCACATGGCTCCATAGTGCATAAGGAAAACACAAAACCAATGCTGTTTAGACTCTTTTTTTTTTTTTTTTTTTTTTGGTTTTTCGAGACAGGGTTTCTCTGTGTAGCTTTGCACCTTTCTTGGGACTCACTTGGTAGTCCAGGCTGGCCTCGAACTCACAGAGATCCGCCTGCCTCTGCCTCCCGAGTGCTGGGATTAAAGGCGTGCGCCACCACCGCCCGGCTAGACTCTTTTTTAATCAGATAAAATGAAGGAAAATTCTGACACATGCCATCAGAAATCCTTAAGAGTTTTTACCCAAAACTAATATACTATTAAAAAACAAAGGCTATAGTACCAATTCCAAATTTCAGAATTGTAAGTGAAATAAAATATCAACCATGGAAATATCTAACGAGAATAATTAAAGAAAATGGATTTTTACATAAGCAGAAAAGGTAGTCCTTTATTAGCAAAATTAACTCCGTATACTTTAGAGGAAAAAGTCTATAGTCACAGAGAAAGATATTTGGTAAGATTTACACTAAAAATTGTGTAAATTGGACATCGCCTATGAAGTTTGCAAAGTGCAGATCACAAAAGCAATGGAGAATTCTATCTTTAAATTCAGGAAGCATGGAAAATGTTTCAACTAAAGCCAGAGGACAAGTGATACTTACAGTGATTGGTCAGTGGAGCAAAACTGAAGGCCCAAGAGAAAATATTAATATGAGAGAGCATGTCATACGGCATAAAGCCTGACATTGCTCAGTGTCCACCTACAATACACAGTTGAGCACCTTCACCCACCACATGTTAGAAACTCCAAACACATTAAAATCAAATGTTAAAAAGTCATGGTATTTGGAGAAAATCTACAACAATACCTATCACCTAGGTTGGTGGGAATAACACAACCAAAATGGGAAAATAGAAGTTAGAAGAGATAATACCAGTTTGATTATGTGCAGCCTGAACCTGATAAAGATAATTATGTCAGAAAAAAATCAATAGAAAAATGAAAAACTGCATTATAACTAACAAAGTTAATATCTGTAATATTCTAAGAATGTTTGTAAATCACCAGAATAAAGAGACAAAATTCAGTAGAAAAGCTGGCATTTTACAGGAAGGGAAATCTAATAACCCACAGTGTATCCAGGCTCAAATCTCACTGGCAATGAAAACAATGTTGGGTCAGGAAAGCGCCCCTTTCCTGAGAGGAAGTGAGCCTGGACCTCCAGGTCAGGTGATGGCATCTTCAGTAATAAGAGGGTCTCACTGTTTTTTCCTGACTGCTTTGTCTACTTAATGCTTTTGTCTGTCCCCAGGAATGTATAGAGGAAGAAAGACCAGTGCCCAGGGTCACCACTGGGTTCTTTTAAACATTTTATATGCATTGTGTGTATTGACCCTTTGCTCTTTGGGGAGAGGGATGGTGCTGAGGTAAACATGTGGAGGTCAGAAGACATCTTGCGGGAGTTCATTCTCCCCGCCCCCCATGTGGGTTCTGGGATTGAATTTAGAATGCAATCTTGGTAGCAAGCACCTTTACCTGTTGAGCAGTCTTGCTGGCCCAGTACTGGCTTCTTGCCAAGAGTTTGTGCTTTCCAAACTCCACATGTTCTTGGCACTCCTTCCTATGAACAGAGAAAGCCGAGGTGCTGCTGGGAGTATCATCTCTGTGGGCCGACTATGCCCTTCCGGCCATGTTCGCCCTTCGGTTGTTGTTTCTTCTTGTAAGAAGTCTGCATTAGGATTCAGGGTGTCTCAAGTTAATGTTACTTTTCCCACACCATGCTCTATAGATCAAAAAAATCTAAATGACTTTCTATTTAGAGCAGTAATAGGAGCTATGGAAAGAAGAAAAAAAAGAGGGGGGTTGTATTAAGAAGGCCTAAGTCCAGGCAGGGAAAATAGGTTTTAAAACCGAAAAATAATTTCCATATGGGATACTTGTGAGGATTCAGTGTCCTGATGCTGCAGAGATCTGAGAGGGAGCTTGGAATGTAATGAACATGGGAAACTGTAGCTCCTTGTTTAGCAGGTGGTGATTGGAATGGAGAAAACCCCTGCACCCACAGTGGAGTAAGCAAAGATTAGGAGAAATGCTAATTCCCCAGAGATTCCCTGTGGGGGCGGGGGAGGCGATGGGGAGGGAAGTGGAGAGAAATCCTGTGGCCTCATCTGTGGAAGTGTCTCTACAACTGTCTCAAGCAAAACCCAGGGTAGGTGTGGAGATCCATCTGGCTGTGAACAGCATGGGAGGGCCCTCATTCATAGGAACAAATTCACCCCAGAAAAATTCTACAAATATCATAGCATGACTCGTTCAACCATCAGTTTACCATGATACACACAAGAGAATTCATGTAGGAGGGAATAAAACCATACAGATGACCAATATGCAACTACCTCCACCCACCAAGCCCTGCTGAAACACATCAAACCTTCACAAGCACAAGAGAACTCTGGGGAGAAACTTTCACAATGTGGTGAGTGTTGGAAAATCTTTAGCAAGAGAATCCTCCTGACCAAGCTCAGGTTATTTACACAAGAGGAATGATTAGAGTAAAATACATATGAGAAATTGCATGTGTGCAGACATCCTAAGGGTAATGGGTTACAGTAGTTTCAGTGATCACTCACACATCAGCGGATATTCATGTTCTCACCCTGGAGAGATTCCTATGCCTGCAATGGAGGAGGACTTCTCTTGGCTGGACTTCATGTCAAAACTCATGCAGGGAAGACACCACGGAATCCAGGAAGGTACAATGTTACTAAAGGCAACTCTAGAAACAAATGTAGGGTAAAGATACAGGATTGTCTAGATGTACTGAGTTACAAATAATGATCACTGAGACAAAACCTTCTCTGAAACACATTGTGAATATAACAATAACAATTGCTGAAAGTTACTTTAAATGTATTCTCTTGAGTTTGTGGGTTAGTTTTCCTTTAATGATCCATAACTGCTGATTAGATAGTATCTGTTTTTTAATACTGCTGGTAAATCATGATTATAAAGACTTTGAGGATACCAGAAAAATAACCTTGAATGTTAACAAAGCCTTTTAATTTTACTGATGGTGAATTACATATGCTCATGGAAAGGACAAATGGAAATGTGAATAAACACATGATTTGTAAGTGAATTTGAAATATAACTTTCAGTATTGCTTACAGGGCCAATAAAATGGAAATAAAGGTGACTTATTGTTAATAAGGAAGTGATTTAATATACTGTGATATATCATCATGAAATATTATGCAGTCATTAGAAATGATTTAGGACTATAAAAGTTTATCCATGAGGTATTATTAATTTTAAATGTGTGTGATGCCATAAGAATTGAAGTCTTATTTGTGTAAAGGAAAGAAAAGCTAAATATACATGAGCATGGGTCTGCCTGTGTGTGTTTGTATATTCATAAAGGTGTGCCCATGCATATACTGCTAATTGTTACTGATGAGTATGGGTCCTCGTATAGAAGCATAGAAGAGTGTTCTCAGTTATACACCCAATCTTTATTTTTCTTTTGTTGTGCTAAAAATCAAACTCAGGCATAAGGCACAGTAGGAGAGTGCTTGGCCACTGAGCTAACTCCAGGCTTCATGCAATCTTCTTAACAGGAGTAGATGATAAAAAGGAAAAGATGGAATTCCAAATAACTATGGGTCACATTTATTTAAAATTAAAATTGTTGTTGAGTATGTTTGTTCATGACTAAAATATTGCATAGGGTAATCGGAGACTCAGTTTTGAGATCCATTGATTCTTCAAGAACCAAATTATTGTCTTCGCTAGGACCACACTGGATTGCCAACAAGAGCAGAAGAATGTCTGAATTCTTGAACCATTTGAGGCTCTTGACCTGTGTAGGCAAACACATCACTTGTCCCATGCACAATGTATAACAAAGCTAGAAGCAGCAAGCAGCCTCACCATCCAGCTAATCCACCCAGAACAGGACAAAGCCTGCTGCTCACTGTCTTCTCTTTCTCCTAGATGAGGATGGGCTTGGCATAAGCATTATTGGAATGGGCGTTGGCGCCGATGCAGGCCTGGAGAAGCTGGGGATATTTGTCAAGACAGTGACAGATGGTGGCGCTGCTCAGCGGGATGGCAGGTGAGCTTGATACTGTTGAATGTGAATTGGATCCCGGGAACTGCCCCGCAAATTTCTGTCAGTGTGATCTTCTTCTTTTGATTAAAAACATTTTTTTCAGTGTTTCTCAGGTGTGGGAGAATGTTAAAGCATGTGAATTACTTTCTTATTGGTAGCAGAATAGCTATGCAATAAATGTGCGTCTGTCTGTCTGCCTTTCTTTCTGTCCACCCATCTACTTACTCAGTGGGAAGTGGGCCATAACATGATGTGTATGGTTTAAGAGTGTATCCTGGGGAAGCTGACATATAACTTTATTTCAGAAATGTTCAAATGAATTTCATAATTCTGATGCTTTGGAAAATGACAGAGGTGGAGGGGAACTTAAGAATCTACTTCTGCCCTGAGAGGAATTATGGAGACTAGTGTTCTTCCATGTCTCCTACAAAGAAACAGGTGCTAGAGCACTACTTGAACACGTAGAAGGAGACCTCTCCATGAGCAGAGGCTGGCAGCCTGTTCCGGGTAATTACAGCTTAATGTTTTAGCTTGCATCAGCTCAAAGGTCATGTATCTTTAATGGAAAGATTCTGCCTGACACCAGGCTTCTGATGGGAAACTGGCAGGGGACAAGAGAAATGAACAAAGACCTCAGATGATGACAGCGGAATTCAAAGAACACTGCACAAATAACATTTTTATGTTAGATTACATACCGCATAACCTTCTTCTCAAGTAGTCAATGAATCATGGTCTCTGTTGAGACTCACAGCAGCATCACTCTGTCTTTCATAATCCTGAAACACCTGTTGGTATATACAGGGTTGTAAAGGGGTAGTACCAAATTGATTTTTATTTATTTATTTACTTTTTGAGACAGGATCTCAAGAAAGATGCTGAGTTAATCATGGAAAATATTGTTGCCAATAGGATGTTATTAAAAGCTGTTCTCTGATTTCCACATGTGTGGACATGAGTACACTTACAAATTAACACAATAAAAAATAAATAAAAATAAACAAAGTTGTAGGTCCTAAGCTGGGCATAGTGGCCCATGCCTTTAATCCCAATACTTGGAGGCAGAGTCAGGCAGATCTCTGAGGCCAGCTTGATCTACACAGTAGGTTCCAAGACAGCCAGGGCTACACAGAGAAATCATGTCTAGAAAAACCAAAAAATAAAAAATAAAATTGAATTAAAGTGGGAAATACTAATACAATTTTGTAATACATTGAAAGGACCCCTTTCATCTAAGTGAATTAAACTTGTAAAAATCTACCTCGTTTGTGAAAGTCATTTCAGGGAGATAGGAAATAATCCTTACAGTTAGTGCCAAGCAAAACAAAAGGATTATGCATCACCTTTTAGGTGACTGGGTCACAAATCCAAACAAAGATGCAAAATGAAAATACAAAGAAAAAGATTTCATTCAGCACTCCTAGATTTGGTTTCAAACACAGGCCATTTTATATTTTCCTCACTTATTTTAAAAATTAAATTTGATTCATCTTATTTATTATCAAATATTTATTTTATTTTGTTGTCCTGTGTTGTTTCACTATTGATATTAGATCTTCTCTTGGGGAACTGGGATATTGCTGATAGATCTGTATCTCCATGCACATTGAAATCCCATGAACATCATTAATGTCGTCTCAGCTGCTGTCCCTGCCTTTCATCCTTGCTTCTTTGTTGGAACACACCTTGAGAAGTAGAGTTGTCCCCAGCCCCCTTCACAGAAGTATCATGCCAACAAATAACTATATGAACACATTAAAGAACCCAAGAGTAGCCCAACTTCTACAGTCTCATTAGCCTTACAGCTAGCGCCTGGTTCTGAGTCAGCACTGAGGCCTCTCGGCAGTTTGAGGAGGCTGAAGAGCATGCTCTGTGCTGTGATCAGTGTCAGTGTTGGAGCGATTTGCAGCCTGGGCTCTTCTTGGCCTCCTCACATTCTTTTCCTGGGCAAGACACACATTTCTACCTAATGTCATGCCTTCTCGTTGACAGACGTCCTTTAACACTTCCTCACCTGGACTCCTGGTGACAAATTCTCTCTAGATGACAGTTTTTCTTTTCTCCTTTATAGTACTTGTTACAGTCTTTTTTGGGGGGTGGGGCACGTGGGTACGTGCAAGCATCATGTTTACACAGACACATTAAAGGAATTAGAGCATGCCATAATACTGGTTTTCTGCTATATATTAGACATGGTAAATTTTCTGTGGACGTGTGGACACTCCAAATGATGTGTATTGCTTCCCTTTTGTCCCTTGCATCTGAGAGAATTTCTTTTGGGCCTTGGGTTATAGACTGTAGACCCTGAGTCCAGGGCCTTCAGCTTCATTATTTTCTCATCCTCCCCATGCTCTTGCTTCAGGAGTCGTTCTTGTAATGCTTTGGCTAAGGGAAGCCCTTCACGCTCCTTCCCTAGTCGCTATAGAAATGGTAGCATCGCTGTCAGTGCATTCAGTGCTCTTTTAGGCTAATGTGATGACTGTAGAGAGAAGAGAGCCAAGTTCGCCCGTGTTGCTAGGCACTGTCAGCGTTCTGCTGCTGGTCCTCCTCTGGGAGTCCTTCAGTTGGTGCAGCTTTGCTTACTTAGTTAAGTAAGGGAAGACCCTAAGTCTTCGTAGTCTGTCTCCCCACAGGCCTGTTCCCAGTCTGGGTAGATTCCTGAAACGAGAGCCAGAACCAAATCTCAGAAAACAGCTCTGCCTTTGTTCTGACCATGGAGTTTAGCAACCCTTGTATGTCAATGCACTTTCCTTTTTCTCTTTTAAGTTGATAACTTTCACCTTTCACTTAAAGGCAGCCCACTATCTTTGGCACAGTTGAATTATCTTCTTACTCTTAGGGACCAACACTACCTTGTACTTTGGGGCCACTGCTAACTAAAGTAAGTTACTTGAACAGAGGTGCTGTGATACTGTGATTGCTCATCTGGTAACTTAATGCTTATGTGACTATCAGGATGATTGCAGACACAGTATGTATATCCCTGGCAAATGGATGGCTCTCATCCTGACAGGACAAAACACGAAGGCAGATTTCATCCTGTTACTTAGACTAAATGCCACGCGGTTTGGAAGTTTGGGATTGTTTACTTCTGGAATTCTCTGCTAAATACTTTCAGACAACAGATGATCATGGGTAATTGAAAGCATGGAAAGTAAGATCATGGGTAAAGGGATACTTCTGCACAGCCTTTTGTTTGTTTTTTTTTTTTGTTTTTGTTTTTGTTTTTTTTTTTTGGTTTTTTCGAGACAGGGTTTCTCTGTGTAGCTTTGCACCTTTCCTGGAACTCACTTGGTAGCCCAGGCTGGCCTCGAACTCACAGAGATCCGCCTGGCTCTGCCTCCCGAGTGCTGGGATTAAAGGCGTGCGCCACCACCGCCCGGCTAACTTTGGGTTTTTATACATTTTATTCATCAAGAGAATATTTGTTGAATGCTTACATTGTGACAGCAGTGATCTGTGCTCCGTGTATTTTAACTTATTTGCTCTTGCTAATAATGTTGGTTTATTATGCATTTTATTGCTTCTGTTGTATATAGAAGGAAGCTAAAGTGTCTTATGTGCACTCAGAAGTAAGTAGCATAGCCTCACTATAAACCTATGGTGTCTAACTCCACAGTCAGTACATAAATAGTACATTACAGTTTAACATGTAGTTCATTTTTACAATGGATTTTAAAGATATCTTTATTGCAATTTGTGTGTGTGTGTGTGTGTGTGTGTGTGTGTGTGTGTGTGTGTGTGTAACTTATAGATGTTTTTGGCATTTTTTTATTTTAACATGGGGGTCATGTCAACATTTTTATATGCAAATTATCAAGAACATCTCTGATTATTTCTTTGAAACTAATTAAATAATGGTAACTTGCATTACTATGTCAATGCATATTACATGCATGTTGAATGCTTTAGAAATATGTTGCTAAAGTGCCCTTCAGAAACAACATTCAATTTGTGCTCCCCAGAGCAGAACTCCCAAATGGCAGCTGTTATACCCCATTCAGATGTACTATTTCGATCCAATAGAATCTTTAATAATTTGAATGCCATGACATTATTGCCCTTCAAGTTTTAATTTTTTCTTGTACCCTTGTCCTTAACAATTTATTATTTTAATTCATGTACATGTATGTATGCCTGTGTACCACATGCATGTAGCTACTTACAGTGGCCAGAAGGCATCAGGTTTCCTGGAACTGGAGTTACAGTCAGTTGTGCTGTGGGTGCTGGGAACTGAGCCCAGGTCATTCTATAAAGCAGTGAGTACCCTTAGCTGCTGAAGCATCTCTTCAGCACCTTCCCTAAGCCCTTTAAAATGTTCACTAATTACATGTATTTCTAATTTTTAAAAATGTTACTGGTATGCGTTTTTCTTTTTTTTGTTGTTGTTGATTTTTTTTTTTTTGGCAAATGTATTATTCATTGGTGTTTCCGTGAGAATCTACAGAAATAAGTGGTCCAAACGAACTGCCTCCACTATTTAACTGACAGAAATTTCTTACCTGTTCCTCCATTTTAGCGAAAACACGATTAAACACAACCAACAGAATTAATACGGAAGTCTAAACTTAAACATGTCAAAGTCTGTATTTACTCCCTACCCTTAGCTTTCTATCAAAATTGTTGCTTTCAAAATGATGGCCTACACTGTGGCTCATGGGCCGTTTTCTTCTTAGTCCTCTAGTTTATTTTTAATCACTGTCTAGGAAAGACTCTCAAACTCATGCTTCAAGCATGGGACAAATGGAACCTATCTGACAATCTGATTTTTATCCCAAATTTAGCATAAAGACTTTGAATTCTATTTCCCCTTTTCTCTCTTTTCCTGTTCATTTGTTTTCTTGAGACAAGGTTGCCCTGTGTAGCCCTGGCTGTCCTGGAACTCACTTTGCAGACCAAACTAGGCTTGAACTAAGAGATCTACCTGCCTCTGTCTCCCGAGTGCTGGAATTAAAGGTGTGTACCATCACATGAGCCCAGCTTCTCTGTTTCCTTTACATTGT